ACCTTTTTGTATTGTAATCATGTGCAATTACCCCACATTATTGTTATTACTATTATTATTTAGACTTTTTCTGCTATCACTCAGCCAGGGAACGAGGATTCTCTCCACACATCACTGTCTCTCCTCTCTTATTCTTGTTCTCTGACAGAGACTTTTTAGATTCACAAACTTATAAAACAAATATAAAAGCGTTTATGTGAATTTTGCGGTTTGTTTTAAGAACTGAATAACAGTCCTACCAAAATGTTTCCAACAGGATGCAGAGTTCTTGCGCTCTTCCGAGGGCAAAAACTGGAATGAGAACCTGAAAAAAAATGATAAGAAAACAAAGATCTTAGATAAATAAAATCTCTCCATGACACCATATCAAAAAGAACAAAATACATTCAGCTATCTGTGTCTCCTACCTTCCCCCCTCTTTCTATGCTTTCATGCACTTTCTTCAAGAAGTCCCTCTCTCTGCATCTCTTTGAGTCACGGATGGTGGTGGCATAAGTAGATTCTGAGATGAGGATGTCTGGACGACACTTATCGATCCATGCAGCGCTGCAAATGTACAACACAAGGATGAAGATTTTATTATTTACCTACATATATGTTCTATAAAGTCCAGCATGATAATTGGTAAACACAGTAAAGGCCACTTACCCTAAATGCCGGTCTGGTGTCATGTTATAGTCTCCCTAAAAATAAAAAAAATACATTATTCTGAGGTGTTGGCACTCAATATTTACTGACTCTACAGTGCGGGTTTTGTTTACACTCACAGTGTAGACCACAGACTCTGATCCCACTTTGATGTGCACCATGGCAGCTCCCAGGACATGGCCTGCATAGTACGCCTTGATCTCCAGCTCATCATCCACCTGCCAGCAGCACAACAGAAACAGCTTGATTTGCCATCAAAAGAGACGCGCAGCTGGTGCAGAAATGATTAATAAATACCTGGGCACATCAAAAATAATATCCGCACTGCACCTGGACGGTTTGGTGGAGGTTCAAAGGTACCACTTTCTTCATGCAGTCCTTGATCATCTGTGAGGTGAAGAAGTTGGTTTCTCCCTTTTTGTCAACGGTGATCTTCCGGAAATCTTCCAGCAAAATGGGACAGATAGCCTTGGTGGGATGGGTCATGTAGATGGGTCCATCGTAGCCCACCATCTCGCTCATGAAGGGCAGAGCGCCACAGTGGTCCAAGTGGAAATGGCTGAGAGAGAAACAGGTGTAGTTTTATTTATTTGATACAGAAAATGTGACAGAAAAGGTGGCGTATACTTTAATATTATGACAACATACCTGATAATCACACAGTCCAAAAAGTCTGTCAGACGACCATTCTGAGTTATGTAAGAAAAGTCTGGGAAACGTCTCTGCAATGACAATACAGGATTATACTGTAAATGATCTTACATATAAGTCACAATATGAAGTTTTTAAAAACAGGTTTTGAGTGCAATGCATTTAAAATAAAACCCCATTTTGTAACAAGACTGTTGGAGGGTAGCTAAAGTCCGAGATGTAGTTAGTGTAGAAGAGGGATTACATTTTGAAATTAGATACTGCAAATAATGATTATCTATTTGTCTGTTCAGTCCTTAATTTGTATTCTCCCACGACGAGGGCGACGTCTTCAAATGTCTTGTTCGGTTCAACCCGACGATATTCAGTTTACAATGACGTGAAGGCAGAAGAAGTGGCAACTAGAGAATGTTAGGGGGTTTTTTTGCTTAAAAAAACATTAGTGATTAATTGCCGGTCTGGCTGACCAACAACTACCACATCAATGCTATTTCCTTGGTTTTTATCTTGTACACTGCAAAATCATTATATGTCACACTGCTAACTTGCACATTCCCTAAGCAATATTTTGCACTTTCCTGCAAACTGTACAGATATTCATTCATTTATTTAAATAACGGTTATATTGTACATATTGTCTCCCTTTGTATATTCGTATACGCCGATCAGCTATAACATTATGAGCTGACTGGTGAAGTAAATAACACTGATTATCTGGTTATCATGGCTCCTGTCAGTGAGAGGGGGATATATCAGGCTGCAAGTGAACATTTTGTCCTCAAATATGACGTGTTAGAAGCAGGAAAACAGGCAGCGTCAGAGCATCTCCAAACCTGCAGCTCTTGTGGCGTGTTCCCGGTCTGCAGAGGTCAGTACCCATCAGAAGTGCTCCAAGGAAGCCTCTTTTTATCTTCATTTCTATTTCTCTAAGTTTATTCTAATGCACATTTACCAAGGCAGATTCCATGCATGTTAAAAAAAAACCTGACAATAAAGCTGATTCTGATTCAGTGTAAGGTTGACAGAATGAAAACAAACCAAAGAACCCTGTGCACTGCTGTCTTATCAGGTTTACTTACATCGTCGTTGTACCCCATGTGCATCCCACAGTCAAGCATTATGTTTTTGCCTCCAATGGAGACAAGGATGCAGCTGCGGCCGACATCCTGTCCAGCACCTTGGAGAGGGAACAGGGAAGTTTCAGGAAAACAGTAAACGCACCACTAACACCTCCAGGTGAGCTCCTCCTGCTAACAGTAGCTGCTACACGTACGAGTCGGTTTCGAGCACAATAGCAATCAAATACACAAGTTAGTGCAGTTCAAAGAGAGCTGAAACATGTATCGTATGGTTAACATCAACTGTGGCTGGAACTAGCATTGTAGAGGCTATCTCAGGTTAGCTGTAACGTTACTCACCCAGTGGTGTTACTTTTATTTCAGGCATATTTTCTCATCAGTTCGGCCTGTTTCTGGTGTTAAATCAATAACACCGAGGTAACCCCGGCGGCCCGACTGCTTCCGATGAATAACGTGTTGTTTACAAACAGTTGTTTATTGTCTAACTTGTGTACATGTGGGTTATTTTGAGTACCGACGTTTTTTTTTTTACCAGTTTCAAGTTCCGACAGCAAAAAGTCTACACTTCCGGGTAGCGATTTCAAAATAAAAGCTCGACTTGCGAATAAGATTGTGTTATTATTGGGACTTGGCTTTTAGTATCACAACGCTGTTGAGTTGAGCCATCAGAACTGGTAAAGGGTGAGAAAAATGTGCATTCCCTCTAAATATATTTAGATCTGACTTCATATTTATTTAAATAAATAAATAAATTATTTTCCCACTTCAATTTCATCCCAGGTAAGATAAGATAAGATTATAAGACTTTATTGATCCCACACTGGGGGAACACACTTGCTACAGCAGCTCCAGATACACGTCAACAGATAAGAAAAAGACACATTAAATAAAAAATAGAAATAGAAAAAAAGCTATATAGTGGATATATACAGGAATATTCACAGGTTACAGCAGGAGGTAGTGGAACAAAGACAAACAAAGTCAGAACAATATATATACAGCAGTAACTTAGTGAAAAATATAAAACTGTATTTTTGGTTAAATATGTTTGAGGGGGTAGGGTTGCATTGGGGGATTTGGGGGAGGTTGTGGCTTAAATATTGATCTTATATCTATGAAATCAATAAAGTAGCGCAAGAAGATATACCACACAGTTTTTAATAATATAATTTAGCACACCTGTGGATCGACAGGTGTATATTAGAATTTTTAAAATCCATTTGACCAGTTTGAGTATGGCATTAATACTTGTTTTAAAAAGCAGGAAAAAAACAAACATTACACAACCCTAAATTAATATCTATTTCTTTAAAAATGTCTTTTTAACCAATCACAAGTGGCCACCATGATCAAGCCAAAGACACCAAAGTCACCAAAGACAGCTCCCACCCTGGCTTTGACCTGTTTGACCTGTTGCCCTCAGGGAGGCGCTACAGGTGCATTAGTAAAACTAATAGATTCAAAAACGCTTCTTCCCAAAAGCAATAACACCCTGAACTCTCACATGCCTGTTCCATAGTCAACCACCAACCCGCGGCCTCTCTTCAGTCACTATTAAAACCGTTAAAAAACCTTACCTACTGTGCAATACCATTACAATTGCAATATTCCATACCAATGGGCAATATATATATATATATAATATTAATAAGTGTGCAAATATATATATTTTAACACTGTATATAGCACCATATATTTTGCAAATTACATACTCCTCAGGACTGTGCACCTTACCTCCCTTTTTTTTTTTCTTATGTCTATTTATATTTACACTGTTTTTGCTCTGCTATTGGAGTTGGCTTTTAATCTCATTGTACAGACATGCGTATAGTGACAATAAAGGCATTTTATTCTTTTCTATTCTAAGCCATGGTAGAAAATCCAATGCTTTTATTTCGAAGGCAAAGTCGCCAATTTCCTGTGTGTCCCGGCTTCGAGTCTGCGCAGTAGAAGCGGATTAGAGCAGGACTGACCTGTCGTTCTACGGAGACCAAAAGAAATGTTTAATTTCTCTTTCACTTGTAGTTTCTCTAGCAGGTAATGTGTTGGGGTTTTTTGTGCTTAACATTTCCCGCGACCTGCAGTGTTGTCGGTAGTCGTTAGCTTCATTTGCTCATTCATTTGTTGCCTTATCCGCTTTCACCGACAGCACTTCCTCATAGAAAACCATGGCTGGTCCTGTGGCTCCTGAAGAGCAGAAATTCTGTTTACAGGAGGTCCTCGACACTTTCAAGTTGTGTTTGTCGGAAAATAAAGACGTCTATCTTGAGCACTACATCGCTGGGTGGCGTGGTCTTGTAAAGTAAGTTATTTAAGGGTTAAATCTTTTGGCATTATGGAGGAAATGACAGCATGTTTATACTTTTTATACTGTTTATTATACACTTTACACCACTGGTTTCCAGTCTTTTTACTATGGGGTCCCTTTTTTCTGTCATTAGGTGAGCTGACGACCCCTGACAGAGTGACATATTTAATGGATATTGCAATGTATAACCATAACAGTACAGAACAGCTTCTAAACTGTACATTTAACCCAAATAGTGAACACAATAACTGCAGGAAGTTTATGTAAAACAAGTTATTTCTTGTGAATATATAGATCAGAGAATGAGTTTTCCTGATGTTTTTAGGAACTTTTTTATACAATTCTCTGTCTATTTTTTATTTTACATACTTAATAGGTTTCTTTTTTAACTAATCCAGTGGGTTTTTTTTTTAGCTCTTAGCAGGTTGTTTGAACTTAACAGAGAGTTAGCTTAGTTAATAGCTTCTGTTAATGTACTCAAAGTTTAGATCTTAAAACAATAATCTAAATTTAAAAAAATGCTATTTAATTCAGTTTTCTTCACAGAAATGAATGAAATTCTGCGATATAAAGGCCTATAGTGTATATTTGCCTTTAGCTCTCTCAAACCCCCTAAAATCAAGAAGGCCTCGCGACCCCTAGGCTGGGAAACATCTCTCTACACTGTAACAAAATGTCACCGAGGTGTTTTCTTGTACATTTTCACCACTGGACGAAACATTTAACATTGAAACAAGACAATTCAAAAGACAACAGTGCATAAACAAAACAACAGACATACCAATAAAATGTCCCTGACAGACTGTTTATCCCTTTTATAGGTTTCTGAACAGCTTGGGGAGTGTCTTTGGCTTCATCTCCATGGACGCTGTCAACAAGCTCAAGATCCTGGTGGCCTACCTGGAGGGTGAGAACGGCTCTCAGTACGTCACTATCCAGTCAATGCTTAAATATGAGCTGGACAACGGACTAGTGGACCTGACCAAGAAAGCCAGTAATCCAGAATCAGGCTGCCGTACTCTCCTGAGGCTCCACCGTGCACTGAGGTGGCTGGAGCTCTTCCTGGAGCGCCTCCGCACCAGCAGTGAGGACAGCAAGACGTCTGTCATGTGTGCGGAGGCCTACAATGAGTCTCTTGCCCAGCACCACCCATGGGTGATCCGCAAGGCTGCCGGGATGGCGTTCTGCGTGCTCCCAGGGCGTCTCGCTTTCTTTGAGGTGATGAATGTGGGCCCTCCGGAGCAGGTCGTCGCCATGCTCGGGGAAGCTATACCTCTTATCTCGGAGGTGTACCAGATCACAGAGGAACTCTACGCTCAACATAACCTGCTGGAGTTACCGTAGAGAGCAACAAGTGCTGTTATTTACATTCACATGATTAAATATGTCCAACTTGTCCCTGCTGACGGGCTGTCGAGCTAGCTACTACTCCTGTTTGGTGGTTTAATTGTTTAATGTACAGTGTTAAATACAAATAATTAAGCATTATTCCACTGACTTTAATCTTTACCTACTGCATTACCAGTGTTTGATATAAAACTACTGTTTATTGTTGCATGTGTATCTGTCTACTCTTTCTAATGCACCTCTGAATGATCTTTATAGATTGATTTGTTTTTCATTTAAATCAATGAAGGGAACTGCAGTGGGGCTCAGAGTCTTTGCTCACTGCTCACTGCTGTTTGTTTTCATTATTTATATAAAAAAAGACCAAGTTGATACTACTTATTTGGTACATTAATCTACTGTTTTGTAGATGGATGCACTGTTTTGAGAATCTATTCATCATCAATGTAATTTTTCAAGCAAATATTTGATGGTTTCTGATTCTTTTCGTATATTTTGGGGGTTTTGACTGATTTAATAATTGGCAAATTAGTCGATACTGAAAAATAATTGTTAGTTGCATTTTACAACGGATACCAATCACTCTATGTATTAGAGAAGTGCTGGTCTGAAATGTAATAATAGGGTTATTAGGTCAGATTTTTCATGTTCTCATGCCATATTTCATTCAAATGTTAACATATTCATGCTCCTGTTACACATTGGGGGTTTGTTTCATCAAATGCTAGATGATCTGATATTGTGTGATACCAGATATTATATAAAGTACTATGGCCTTGTAGTAAACACAGATAAAAGACCACCGACTAACTGCAGCCTTATGGGACAAGTAGCAGTTTCCACACTCACCACATGCCAGCAGTCATGAAGCTATCTGGGAGGTGAAAAGCAAAACATTCTCGTAACAGGACAGAAGTGCTGGAATAATGTGGATCTTTAGATTTAACACATATAGAACCATATTTGCAGTTCAATGGCCATACTAAATGTTATGTTTTTACTTCAGAAACAGGTTTTGGTAACCTATGACACAAGAGTTTTTAGTAGCTGACTCATTAACCCTACTGTTAGGGCTGCACGATATGGTGGAAATAATCATATTGCGATTATTTTGACAGGTATTGCGATATGATTCCCGATTAGTGTGGGAATGATCATTTTTGCATCACAAATGAAATTTTTTATGAGAAAAACTTCCAAAATCAGGACGGTGGGAAATGTTTGTGGTCTGTACCAAATAAGATTTGTAGGCCGGAGCATCTCTTCAGAACTACAGTGCTTCATTATAATGCTGTCGTGGCACATATTTGTTCTTTATCCAAAAACAAACTGCAGCTTCTGTGTTTTGGATATTGCACTTTCGACAATATTTCGATTAATTGTGCAGCCCTACCTGCTGTATGTGATCTCAGTGCAATTTCTCATTTAATGTATAAATGAAGAAATCTGTTATTTTTTATTTGAGGTGTATTGTTTTACAATAATGTACTGTATGATATATATTATATATATTACCCTTAATTCAAACACAGTTTATAAACAGCTTAATAAAAACAATTCCACTTGGTTGATGGATGTGAATTTGTGTTATGTTCAATTTAACAATTGATTATTGATCCATTTGAGAAATATTTTGGTTTGTTACATGTTGCAGAAAGTAAAGGAAGTTAACTTTGATGTGTTTTGTTTTTCTAAATTCTATATTAATGCTTGTGCGTGGTGGTAATCAAGTGTCCCCACTACCTACTATTAATCCATGTGTTTTTGTTTGAGGTTCCACAGACCCCACTGTTTTATGTTTAAAATAATACTTATATACTTATATACTAATATATCTGACCATATAAAAGCCTGTTTATATAGAAAAGTGCTGAAGTAGTAACTATTCCCTTACCACAAACTGGACTTGCACATTTGGTGACAAAATATGGAATTCACCATATAAACACCCAAATAGAGGAACATTACACGTTATACAGGCTATGCATGAACTCACATACAATATTACAAATAGTGATGGCTTTGTTTTCTCTTATGAACAAATTGTTATTTGGACTTATTAGAGATTCAGGAGTTAATGCTGTCTAAAAAAATACTTTCAACACCCTTTCAACATCAGATACAGAGCATATTAACAGCCTTTGGTACTTGACTTGAATATTAAAATTTTCTTCTAATATTGTCTTCTACTACCAGTACCAATTACCAGTTTCTTTGCATATTTCGCGTAATAATACAAAATATAGTCTATAAACAAATGATTATGTATTTTTACAGGTTAATATAAAACTATTGTTCCCTGATGGAATTCACAAGCTACCAGTGCGAAAGCACTAAAGTATTTGAAGTTAGCCCATTTACCAGCTGCAACATAAACAACTTAATGCATCAATAATATAGACTAATATATATTATTCTGAAATAACCCATTCTGCATAATGAGTACTTTTATTTTTGGTGCTTTTACTTAAGTAAATGACTTTCTTGTAATAAAGCATTTGCATACATTAATATTACTAATTACTCGAGTAAATGTATCCCCAAAACTCATTTTCTGTGGCGGACATCAGTTCAAAAAACATGTTTATAATCAATTTTAAAGAATGTATGTAAAGTTATTTACTATTAAGATGATGTAACGATGTTAAACGTGTTTTTGGAGCTGTTAAAGTCCCGGAATATTAGAGTTACATTATTATTAAATCGGATGAATTTAGCTGCAGTTGCGCACTTTCATCACCAGGGGTCTCCCCGCCTCCAACCACACGTCGTCGTCAGGGCAACCAGACTGTCATGGCAACCTCGCTGACGCTCAAGAGGTACTTCCTGCTGAAACTGGTGAACTGGATGGAAAGCGTCTCAAAAGTAACGCGCACAGACGGAGTTTTTAACGTTTTCACCTGCAATTCAGCTTCGGTAGCACGACTCTGCTCTTCAGAACAGCTTCCTAACAGCAGCAGCAGGAGACCAGCAGTAACTTACATGACTTTCTTTACTCTGTTTGTGAAGGACTGAAGCCAAGAAGCAACTGGGGATCTTCACAGTCTTCTTCCATCTTGAACAGCTGCTTATCGATGCATTTAACAAGGCCAACGTCCTCCAAGGGGCGAAGCAGACCCACCGTAAACAACTCTGAATACACAGGTGACACAGGCAGCATCCAGGGGCCACCTGCGTCTCCAGACTCACCTGTGTGCAGCAGGCCGGACAGAAGCCTCCGCTCCCAGTCCCAGCCCATAATGTGGCAGGCCAGCCAGCTGAGCCCGGACGAAGTTGTGCAGATGCTGCAGCACCCCCCTGCTGCTCCACGGCAGTCCTTAAACAAGTACAAGGTTCTCCCCTCCATAGAGAGGAGGCCGTCAGAGAGTCCTGGGAGAAGCCTGGAGAATCAGATGTCCAAGCTCGGCCTGTCTGATGATGCCCTCCTGCAGCAAAGGCACAGGCACGAGGAGCCGGATCTCCCCGCAGAGACCCAGACCAGCAGCTCCGAGGTGGACAACAGGGCTGATGTGCACCCAAGGGTCATCCCTAAGCCCCCCGACCCGGGACCAACGCTGCCCAAAGAGGCTGGTGCCACTGGCAGTTTGCTCCTAGCCATCCGAGCACCATGCGGCAGGAGGTTTCAGCAGCACTTTGACCCCACAGACACGCTGCAGGTGGTGAGAGGCAGTGCAGAGGTCAGGTACGGAGCCAAGTACGGAGGCACTTCCATTGAGACCATGGATGTGCCACGCAGGACCTTCACAGACATGGATATGACCCTGGCCCAGTGTGGCGTCTTGAACAGATCGGTGCTGTGCATCTCTCAGAATGACAGTGTGGTGGAGCACGAGTGAGCAAGAGTTACTTTTAAAGTTTTATAGTTCAAGTGTAGCTGCGTGGTGGTATTTAAAGCCCCCCCCCCGCCTCTGTTAAAAACAAATGTTTCTTCACTTGGATGTTTGAGGAGAAGAATGATGTATGTGCTTGAAGTTTAATGCTCGAAGCTTCTCTGTGCTCACCTCGCCATCTGAAGTTTAAGACGTGTACATAAGAGCCTGATTTTTAACTAGTTTGGAGCCAATCACGGCCCCATATGCACCTTACAGAAGTGTGAAAAACCTCCAGTGCACCATGAGAACGCACTTGTGTGAGATATGTGTGATTTTCTACTAGTAAATTGAATTTTTTTTGGGGGGGGAAAATAAACCCATATCAGACTCAAATTAGACAAAACATCTTAAAACAAGTATGTAGGGGATCTTTAAGTGTACACAAGCTTGTTTTTTGTTTATCGACCTTTTTCACAGCAGCCATTTTGACATGAAATGCCAAACTTGTGCATGTTGGCTCACTGGAAAGGCTCTGCTGCACTAAATGGAACAGAACCATCATTAGTATCATTGGTAACACGTGTTTACCCTATTTTAATGTCAAAATGGCTGCTGTGAAAAAGGTCTATTGGGTCCACTGATTGGTAACTTGTTCTGCTGTACCATTTAAACAGAATACTCCAGGCAGGTACATTAAATGTATTCTTTATGGCTGTTACCTGCATGTTCTGAGTCTGAGTTCTTAGTCTAAAGAGGTAATTAGCAAATGAAGAACTTTAATCTGCCGTCAGTTATCAGTTCTTGATTTAAGGAGGATAATCTGGTTTATCTGTGATGTGGTTGCAGTAGTTCTGGCATTTAAAACCAAAGCATAACCAGAGATGCTGCTGACAAATGCAGGAATGAAGAGCGTTTATTTCTCTGTCGTTATGTTCCACATCTTCTCTTTCGTGGGTGATGTTCTTATATGCCAAATAAAGTCCTTTCATCACAATGCGGAGGCACAGAAGTACATCACTAGCTTGTCAATATAGGTCTTTTTCACTGAAGACAATTTTACACAGCAGGGAAAGCAATTAATAAAGTTAATGATGGCCATTATTAGCAACACCTGTTCTTTCCAATGCATTAAGACAGATGTGAAAAAGGCCTTTTTCTTTTCTAACACCTCTCACTCTGAAGTCTGAATGGAGCCACAGAAATTACTTCTATAGATGAAGACTCAAAGTACCATAATATGACTAATCAAATGTCTTTCAATGTAAATTCAGGACATTCAACTCCTGCTCACTCAAGATTTAAACAATTACACACTAAGTGCAGAAAATTGTATTGTACATTCACTGAAGAAATATATTTTCATTGTATATTGTGTTTAATAAAGGTTCAATGGATTCATTATTTTAGTGTCAAACTATTCAATGGTCTTACTTGATAAATGTATGTAATGTTTGAACAGCAAAGAAACTGAACGGTCAACAGGTTTAACATGCAACAGTATATTTATTTTTTTTGTCCACACAAAAACAGAGCAACAGCTCTAGCTTCACAGTCTGATGGAAACTAATAGTCAGCTACCACTAGGCTGAATTTTGATTGCATTTGATCCTAAAAATGCTTTCAAGTCACTCGTAGATATTTTATCTGAACTCAACCTTGATCAAACCACGCAAACGTCTATAGATGAGACACATTATATCCCACCAAACCTACATTAATAATTCACTTCAGATAATCAAAAACACAACACTGCAAACCATCAACCGTGGCACTTTCCCCACTCTTCTTAAACGCTGTTTTAACAGCTAGTGGTTGGTTTAAAGTCTCTGTGAGACAGCCCAAAGGCTTAAGGTGACTTCAGTGATTAAAGTCGGACACATCAAATTAAATTTAAGTGAAAATATTTGGCACAAATTATTGCCATAAAATAAGTTTGCATAGTCAACATTGGCATGCATATCTCTTCTGTAAACAATAAAAATGCAAACAATACACCCTTGAAAGAACTCAAGTCACATTTGAGGTAACACGTCTAACTGCTTCAGTAGGTTTGTGCGTGTAGCGAAGGATTCAGCTCATCAGGCTTTCCATTTCTTCCAGGTCGCTAGTGTCAAGCTTCGTGATTCTCCTGTCTGTGGAAGGAAGACAGAGAGGTGAAAGTCATGTTAGGATCCTTATATTTACCGGTTTGCACGATCAAACTGAGAGGAACAGGAACATACTGAAGTGCATCTCAATTTGGTTGATGATATCCATGCTGTGTTTGCTGTCAACCATATTGACAGCAAATCCTCTTCTTCCAAAACGTCCCGTGCGGCCAATCCGGTGAAGGTATGTCTCATTGTCGGCATTCCCATCCATGTCCACTGGGAGGTCAAAGTTGACCACAAGTGACACTTGTTCCACATCGATACCTGCGATCAACAGAACCACAAACGGACCACAAATACTTATACTCACCTTCAAACATAAAGATGTTTTAATTTTCAGTCTCTCGTCCATCTTAATGTCCCTCACCTCTGGAGCACACGTTTGTGGTCACGAGCACTTTCTCTTTGCCGTTCCTGTAGCGCTCGATGACAGCAGCTCTCTGCTCCACGGTCATTTCCCCACTCAGCAATGCCACCTGGTGGCCCTCTTTGGTCAGGTTTGCAGTCAGCCAAGCAGCCATCTTGCGAGTCTGAAGAAAAAGTATCAGCTAAACTGAACTGCTCATTCTACTTTCATGGAATTAAAAAAAACTGTTATTTGCGATAAATTTGATATATTTCTACATTTTTAGTCAAAGCATAAGTCAAAGTCTTAAAGCTACAGAGTTCTTTTGGTTTGTTTTGGCTTACGATTTAAGACCACATGTACACCTAGCATTAGTATGGATAGTGTATTTGGACCAAAACACAAAAACAAGAAAACACTACCAAACTCTGCCTCTTCTTAGCCCAAAAATAGTTAAGTAGTAGTGATTCAAAATGAATTCCTAGCCCTAGAAGCAGAGCTCATAGGACAGCATTGCTTCTCTTCACATGGAACACAACAGGCCTGGGACATATCAAGGTATAACAGTAGACCAGGGTATTTAGAAATCCTGAAGGTATGGCTTTCAATACCGTTAAAAACACAGACGCTCCTCTTTCTCGTGGATCAATAATACTGGCGGAAAGGTCATGTCCTCCTCCTTGGATTTTAGTTTGTGTTTCTGCTCAAAAAGATGCTCTGTGCTTTGTCTCATAACAGTAGCGGCGCTTCACATTGCTGCTTTTATATATTATATTATATTCATATGTATTGATTGGTGTATAATCACCTGAAAATAAGAAATCGCAGTGTTTTCGTAACCTGAGATGTTTTTATCTACACTTCCACTTCCATTAAGGCCGCCATGTTGAACCCACAATATCTACAGTAGCCCTGAACAGACAAACCAAACACTGGCTGTGGATAGACTTTCACGTTTTTTTGCTGCTACGGTAGTTTCTCCTATACGCTCGGCAGAGGAGGGTGAGGCGAGTTGGTTGGTCTTTGTTTTTTACACAAATACTGTATTAAAAAATGTAGGTAGAATCAGAATGGAGATAACAAAAACAATTATTAATACCAGGTGTGGATTGAATATCCAGATGCAGATTGCCGGGTTAAAATATGTAACTTAAGAGTGTACAAAGCAGGACTTACATGGCAGAAGATCATGGCCTGTGCGATGGTTAGGCTGCCATACAGATTACAGAGAGCTGTGAACTTGTCCTCCTTCTCCTTACAGACCACGTAGAACTGCTTGATGGTGTCCAGCGTCTCCTCTTCGCGCTTCAGCCTGATGATGTTGGGATCGGGAACCACCTGCTCTGCAAACCTCCACACCGAGTCCTCGAAGGTCGCAGAGAAAAGCAGCATCTGACAGTCCTTGGTCAGCTGCCTGCGTTGGGACGAAGAAAAGGAGGAAAACACTGTGAATAAAAGACGCTTGGTGACTGACGTGACAAAGGAAACTCTTACTGTGATCAAAAGGTTTCCCTGACAGGAACCCGCCTGTGGATACGTATGCTCTGGTCCCGGTGACCCTGTGTGGCGATCATCACGTCGGCCTCGTCCAGCACAAACATGGTAATCTTCTTGGGGTCGATGAGCTTGTACTTGGTGCACCAGTCGAGGACTGTGCCTGGTGTTCCGATGACAATCTGCTCCTGCAACTTGGTGCCTCGTTCCACTGAACAGAGTGTAGAAGTTCATGCAGCGATATGACCGACACTGGCTCCTTCATGCATTTAAATACCATTTTGCAACTAGTTTAATCATCATAATCACAAGTGTGGTTACATTCTTACTTCTGTTGCCCCGAATGCCGTAGGCAAGTTTCACATCAGGGCAGAATTTCCCCATCTGCTCGATGACTTGTCCAATCTGCAGAGCAAGCTCGTATGTTGGTGCGATGCACAGGCACTGAAAAAAGAAAAAAACCCAAAGGTGAGTTTATTCCAGCATCTACAAGTGAAACTGGGCACCGGCTGGTTCAGGAGATTACATGTTAGGCTTACCTGAGTCCACTTATTGGCTGGGTTTACGTGGCTGAGCATGGCCAGGGAAAAAGCAGCAGTTTTACCTGTGCCAGACTGTGACTGGGCGATCAGATTCTGAGGTCTGGAAACAGAAAATACACAAAAAGAAGAGAATAAATCACAGACAAACCTGAAGTTAAGATTTTAAGTTAACTACTTTAACTACTGCAGCGTGATTTTGGCATTAAGTTAAAAAGAACAATAGTTACGTTACCATTTTAGAGCAGAAATAATTGGTCTATCAGCAGAAAATGAATCAGCAACTCTTTTGATAATCCATCATTTTCCCTTTTCTTGGTATTATATTATAGTAAACTGATTAGTTATGTCTACGATAACATCAATTTGGGCTCGAGGAAACTTTGATGGGTGATGTTTTACATACCAAATAATCTCTCTGTAAAGCACCATGAATGTATGTTTGGTTACTTGAATATGCAACAACTGGCACAAACAAGTCAAAATGATATACACCAAAACCTCCACTTAACTGCATTTAACTGCATTAGTGCTGAAATAATGAGCTGCTAACTTTGTTAGTAACTGCCAGAACATCGACCGAGGGGAAAAAATACACATAACCTTGAACTTTGTTAATTGATTTTGATATTGCGTGTAATTTCTCTAGCAAAAATGCAGTGCAACATTTGCTGGTTCCTGCTTCTTGTGAAGATTTACTGCTTTTCTCAGTTTTATATTGCTCTAAACTGAATTTATTTGATTGATATATTTCACCAGGAAGTCTCGTTGAGATAAGAAATGCTGCCGAGTGGCTCATTTTGTCAAACCAATACTCCAAGATGAGGAGATATTACATTTACAGGGTTACAAGAGGGAAATGAGCTGCAAACATTCACATTTGAAAAGCTTGAATGAGAAAATATTTGGCATTTCCCCTGATAAACAATTACTCAACTATCAAAATTGTTGTTAATTATCTCCCAATAATAATCTCCCAGAGGTCGAGTTGATGTTGTCAAGCGGCTCACTGTCGAACCAGCCATCCAAAATGCAGATATTACGTTTTAATCACACAAAAAAGGGGAGAGAAGCAACAAAGCCTCACATTTGAGAAGCTCGAACCAGCAAATACTTCAATATTTTCCCACGATAACTGACAATTATCTAAAGTGTTGATTCAATTTTCTGCCCATTGACTAATTGATGAATTGATTACTTGTGTCAGCACTACTTCCAAAGAATAAAAATGAACTCACGGCTGTGCCAACATCATGGGCAAAGCATTCTCCTGGATTCTGGATGGTCTGTTGAAGCCCATGTTGTACACACCCTTCAGCAGGTCAGGCTTCCTATTGATCGACAGGTAATAAAATAACAAGAATCAAGTGTTTGACGAGTCCTGGAAAGGTTCCAGGACACTTTCCAGAAGTTTTTCTCGACAATACAGGACTCACAAACAGTGGTCAGCCATAGGTGATCCCACTGTTACATGTCAAAATGGCTGCTGTGATAAAGGTCTATTGACAGCAGCAGGTCAACAGATTATTTCCAAGATATTTGGTCATTTTAATCAATTTTCCAGGTGTTTCCATGACCTGGAAAACGTATCCCTAAAGTTCCAGGTTTTCCAGGACTCGTGGGAAGCCTGGGAGGAGAAAACGTACATGTGCACACACCTGTTTTGAGGGCCGATCAGTGTTAAAACTCACAGTCTCAGCTCCTCAAACGTCTTCACAGAGTACAGAGGAGAGGTGGGGTCCCGCTGCAGAACCTCCACCTGGTTTCTGTTCCGCACCAGAGAGTGCCGGATCAGTTTATTCAGCAGGGACTGCTCGGCCAGGTCCACTTTGTCCCCGTCTTTTCTCCAGCCTCCATTCTCACTCTTCTCCGGCACTATGTTGCCTGCACGGGGTGGAAAAACACCAAAGTCCGCCAAACACCACCACAACTAAGCAGTAACATTAAGTAGCTTGGATGTGAAATAAGGGGGAATTAAAAATAATCATAGGAGAAGGAGACAATATGTATTAACATGGACACAAACACACACTCTTACATTAAAAAAAGTATCTGTAATTATGTTTTACGGTCTACTTTTCACTTTTTTCTACTTTATTTTAAGTTTTTTTCTTCCGAATCTGTATCCACACACATTATACACTTGCTTTGGCAATGTAAAACTTCTATTTCAATGTTTTTAAGTCTATTTTTCACGTTTTTCTAATTTATTTTAAGTTTTTTTCTTCCCAATCTGTATCCACACACATTATACNACTTGCTTTGGCAATGTAAAACTTCTATGTCTACGCCAATAAAGCAACTTTTAACTGAATTTTGAATCAATTAATTACCATTTATGTCTCCTCTCACGTTTCGTGGACCTCGCACACGATCCACTTTCTTTGAGAAGTTCAACTGTTGGGAGAAAACACAGGTTAT